TTTTCTTTTGCTTTTATAAGAACTTTTTCTGCATTTGTCATGTAATCGGCAACTTCTGGAACTGTTAATGACTAAATCACATTACAGAACATGTTTCTGTAACAGCGTTGTCATACATTCCAAAATGTTGGCTACTTTTAATTGGACTTTCCTGCGGCGCTGTAATAGCAGTTGGGCTTTCACCAGCAGCAACAAGGTTATACTTTTCTACATGGGATTTATTCCCTTTAAAATTTTAGTTTAAGATTGACTTTTTCCAATAAATGTGTTCAGAATGATGTACTGTTTCTGTGATGGCCCTGTTCGCAACTTTGCCTGGCAAGAACCAAATGACGATCCTAGACCAACATTTTATTTATGGATTGCGTTTGACTCTCGAGAGAGGCCTAGACGGAGTGCTGGGGCGCAAGTGATGTTAACAATTATCGTTTTTCCCGATGACGAGGGGAAGCCTTTCAGTGATTGGACTTATCGTTCTCCGTCTATACAGCGTCATTTTTCTGTCAGGACTTGTATTCTTCAATAAAACTGAATTTGTCAATGTCCTGAAAAATACAACCAGTTGCTTATAGTTTAGTGGTCTCCAAATGGAATTTCGCGCTGGCTAAGCGTACGAACAATTGTGCAGAATGCTGACGTAGATCGCTTTTCTCGGGGACTTGATAGGTGATTTTTTGTATTGGTTTTTTTAAAGCTGTATTTGCCTTTTTTTTTTAAGGTTTTATTGTTGGACTATTTTATAATTGGCTAGCTTTTACTTTTTTTCACAGTGGTTACCGTGCAAGAGGGGTTTGCAGAACGTTGCCAAGCTTCCTTTTCAACTTGTTGTTTTTTACTCCGAATGAATGATGCATCTCATCCTGCCTGAGTTATCCTATTGCAGGTCAAGCACGCTGGACGAAAGTACCCTGAATCACTCCTCTCTCGACTCAACCTTGTTGCTGCTTGTTTGGATAAACCAGAAAGGAACTGCCCTACAGGTAATATGCTTTATTTTTAATTCCTTCTTTTATAGCACATTCTGTCTAGAAACTGAGGCCTGCTGAACCAGTGCTACAATTTTTAGAGCTTTGTCGCACACGGCGATATTGGTTTTTTCAGGGTGCTTTGTTTGATCTTAATGCATTTTATTATAAACGATTGATAAAGAGCGTTGTTTTTGACGAAACAATCGCTCACCAGTGCCCTTTTCTGTCACTGTTTACTCTCGTAGAGTCGGAGACTGGCGTTAGTGAAGTACAGGTATTGTCAGTTCGCTGTCATATATATATATAT